TGGGCCATGGTGATGAAGGTACCAAATCTTAGGGGAGATGCTGCTTTACCACGTGGTTGTGCAGAGATTTAAAATAACTGTGTGGACATTAGATATTAGGAATAAATTCTTCCTTGTGAGGCTGGTGAGGCACTGGCACAGGTTGCCCAGAGAAGCGGTGGCTGCTCCCAGTGTTCCAGGCCAGGTTGGATGTGGCTTGGAGCAACCTGGGCTGGTGGGAGGTGAATCTTAGGGGAGATGCTGCTTTACCACGTGGTTGTGCAGAGATTTAAAATAACTGTGTGGACATTAGATATTAGGAATAAATTCTTCCTTGTGAGGCTGGTGAGGCACTGGCACAGGTTGCCCAGAGAAGCGGTGGCTGCTCCCAGTGTTCCAGGCCAGGTTGGATGTGGCTTGGAGCAACCTGGGCTGGTGGGAGGTGTCCCTGCCCAGGGCAGGGGATGGAACTGGATGGTCTATAAGGTCCCTCCAACCCAAACCATTCTGTGGTTCTATGATTCCATGACACCTCAGTGTACGGAGGGCACAACAGACTTCAGGACATCCCACTGATGGCCAGACCCAGGTGGCACTTTTCTCTCATCTCTGTGAGTCAAACTGCAAACATTCATTTGTAAAAATGGAATTAAGATCTCCAAGAGAAAAACACCAATTACCTGGTGATGTTTGTACTACACAGGATCATTTTGTTAACATTGTCTGTGTGTTTTGCAAAGGGAAATCAAAGCTGCTGTGTGCCTGCACAGCAGGGCCAAATCCTGCACTCAGCAGTGGGAATTCAGAATGTGGCTATTTTCAGGAGTCTTTCCAGTCCTGCTGATTTAAAATAAGAACTGTCTTTGCTTTAATCATGCAGCTCCCAAGCTCAGCTTTGATGAATTGCAGAAGCAGGTTCTTATCAAATAACAGTGTTTTTTAGCTTTAGTTCTTTTCTTTTTTCCTGAAAAGAGCAGGAAGTTTGCCATACTGCAGAACAAGATGAATGAATTTGCCATTTGAGGCTGAATTTTCCAAGAAGGATTAGGATGTTCTGCAGTCCTTTAAATGCAGGGATACTACTTGCAAGGCCAGGATGATCAAAATTTGCATTATAACTCCATATGCAAAAGAGGGAGAAGGAATTCCAAATGAGAGCACTTCCAATCCTGAACAGCAGCTGCAAATTGAAGTGAAAAGATGGCAATTCCCTTACTCATAGCCAGAAATTATTATAAATGGGTTTGGCTCAATTTTACAGTGAATTGCTGTATCTCAATCCTGGGTTAGAGGGGTATAAAAAGTGAACAGTACCTCCTGGTTAGTGCACAGATGTGCTATAAGGTCACCAGTGTGACAGGAGAGAGGTTTCCATCTCAAAATAATACCTTGCTTTTTGTCTCCATGTGTTTTCCTTCTAGCTATCCATTTCCCATGGTGTTCAGTAGCTGCAGTAGAAAGGACCTGGAAAACAGCCTGGAGAAAGGAGTGGGAATGTGCCTCTTTAACCTGCCTGAAGTCAAGGAGTCCTTTGGTGGCCAGAAGTGTGGGAATGGCTACGTGGAAGATGGGGAGGAGTGCGACTGTGGGGAGCCTGATGTAAGACAATGAGTTTCTGCTCACCTTCTGCTGCAGGTTTTCATAGAATCACCAAGGTTGGAGGAGACCTCTAAGCTCACCAAGTCCAGTCCATTAACCTTCCACTGCTGTAATCCCTAAAGCATATCTTCCAGCCCCTCCGTTTTTGAACAGCACGGGATTGGTTTGGCATGTTTTACATTGTTTGGTGTAAACCAGAACTCTTCCTTCTCTGCTCCTATCTTATCAGCTTAAACCTCAGAGTTCTCAGAAGTGCAGGGAGTTTCTGCTTGCCGTGCATTCATGTTGCTGAAGTTCAAGCAGGGCTTGAGTTAACAATGTGCTCAGTTCATCCTTAGAGAGCAAAGTCCCTCGTGGCTTGTCCAACAGATTGGCCGTGACGGTCGTATTCCTAACGGGAGAAATTCCTTAAAGTATTAGCTAATCAGCTAAACTCAAAATACACTTGTGAACATTGCTCAGATTTCTCAATGAGTTAATTGGAGGTTTGTTTCCTTCTGTGAGAAGCCACTTCTATATTTACATTAATATCAAAATGATCACAGAAATCATGGAATCCCAGAATGGTTTGGGTTGAAAGGACCTTAAAGATCATCTGGTTCCAATCCCTGCCACTGGCAGGGACACCTTCCACCAAAAATGCTCCAAGCCCCATCCAACCTGGCCTGGAACACTCCCAGGGATGGAGCAGCCACAGCTTCTCTGGGCAACCTTTATATATATAGCTATATAAATATTAATATTGACTAGGTTTTTTTCCATTGCATCTTCAGATTTAGGCACAAGACCTTTCTCTCCTTCACCATGAGATTTTTCTTTCCCACTAGTCAATCACCTTAGTACAGAAACAGCCTTCACTACCTCCCAAAAACATTGCTGCTACTTCAAAGATCTTTCCATTTAGTCTGGTGAATGTGTCAGAAGGCTCCTCAGATCAGGAGGAGATAGGCAAAGCCTGGGGGTCAAATCATATCCAAGCTGACATCCTTATCCCTTTTACATCCCATCCTCATTGGCTGCATTGAACTCCTCTCAGATTACCTGAACTAAACGCAGCAGCAGATGAAGGATTTGTTTCCGATTACAAATACAGCTCTGCAGACAAAGGAGATGGGGCAGTTAAACCAGCAAGATATTGCTGTATGCTGTCTATAGAGTGTGCTGGATTTATACAAGCCATAAGGATTTCCTGACAGTTCACTCATTCTTGAGGGTAACGAGGTTGGAGGAAGCAGGCTTATCTTCTTGTTTAAAGTCAATAGAGTGCAAGCAGCTTGCAAATGTCTTTCTAACCCAGTTATCTTTCTTGTTTTCATTTCTGAATGTTAGCAATACCTTTTCTAGTCAAAGCCACTTAATGTCAGCAAACACTGACTTGATTTGCCTCTTCCTCCAATCTTTTTTTTTCCCTTTTTAATTATATTGGAAAACTGCAGCTTGGATGCAATTAAGTTTATTTGGAATTTACTGCTATAATCTGAGTGGTTCCAGAAAACCTATGTGATTAGTTCATAATTCACTGCTCAGTCATTTGTACCAGCTGAGTATTGTCAATAGTGTTGCAGTATTTTATGGCATGGAAAGCTGCACAATAACATACTTGGCTGTATTTTATCACTGATTGGAATTAAATATCATTCTGGATAAGTAAATGGAAGTTGTCCCTGCCCATGGCAGAAGGGCTGAAACTAGATGATTCCTTGGTCTCTTCCAACCCAAATCTTCTATGGTTTAGATGGGATATTAGGAAGAAATTCTTTCCTGTGAGGGTTCTGAGGCACTGGCACAGGTTGCCCAGAGCAGCTGTGGCTGCTCCATCCCTGGGAGTGTTCCAGGCCAGGTTGGATGGGGCTTGGAGCCACCTGGGCTGGTGGGAGGTGTCCCTGCCCAGGGCAGGGGGTGGAACCAGATGGTCTTTAAGGTCCTTCCCAACCCAAACCATTCTATGATTCTAACTTAATTTTGGATTGTGTTACCAAAAATGTCTAATGTGCTACAGTGTCTGTGGAAGGAGAGTAAAAGTAGACTATAGATGGAAAGATAAAGAGGGAAAAAAAACTACAAACCCAAAAGGTGGAAATGTGGCAGCTTCTACAACCAGCTGCAAGGGGGATCAGAAACTACAAGTTGGTAACTCAGAAGCCAGACAAATTACTTCCAAATGTAATTAAAAGCTAGTGCCCAAACAGCTGTGACATGCCAGGGACAAGGCAACACAGCTTTTGTGCCAGCAAATCTTGTCTTACAAAATCTTGTCTTACAGACCTATCACAGTGCTCTGAAGGGCTTAACAAGTGGCTGGAGGGGGACTGTGCTGTCACTGCAGCATGTTATGTGTTCAGAGAAGCTTTAGACCAAAGCTCTCAGCAAAGCCCCTTTAAGAGACTAAGCAGCTGTAGGATGAGAGCAAATTGCATGGGCAAAAGTTGGGTTAAAAGATAGGAAATACAACCAGGTATAAATCATTTGGTTTATGCAGTGGAAGGAGATTTGCTGTGATGTATCCATGAGATGTGTCCTGGGGACTACACAATTCAGCATTTTCATAAACAGCCTGGGAAGAGAAATAGTCTTGAATTTGCTGATGATATTAGCTAGGGTGGTAGAGATGAAATCTGGCTGTGAAGGACTGCAGAGGCACCTTCTGGGACAGCTGGACCAGGCATGAAGATGAGAAATGGGACTCAGTGAGGAACGATGCACATTCCAAAAATCACAAAGAAGATGATGGACTCTGAGCTGCCTCTGACCAGAGAGGAACAAGACTTCATACTGCAATAAATAGTCTCATGAAAATGTCAGCTCAGTGCTCAAGAGTGGTCTAAAAGGTAAATAGGCTGTTAGAAATTACTAGGGGAGAAATAGGGAAACAAAACAAAGCACCAGAAAACCTCCATAAATCTGCTGTGCCTGGAGCTGCGTGAGCAGGTTTTCCCCACTCCTCCCTGATCTCAGGGAGGATAAAGCAGAATGAAAGAGATTGAAAGAAAAGCAACAAGGTGGTTCAAAACTTTAGAGAGGCTCTGGCTGCAAAAGAAGTAAATGAAGGAAAATGTGACAGAAGCTGATAAAATCATGAGGGAAATGGAAAGGTGAGTGAGGAGTGATTGTCCCCAACAAGAACTGTGGAAATGAAGTTAGTAAATGGCAGGTTTCAAACAAGCAGAAGGAGCTGCTTCCCTGACTCTGTTGTTATGTGTAAATTCCCTTCCACTGACTGTTACAGGTGCTAGAAATGCCCCTGGAGCCAAGGGAAAGTCAGGAGACTGGGAAGGTTTGCTTACATTTCTGTCCTTAAGCATCTTCTGCTGGTTGCTGCTGGGGCAAAACAAGGCAAGAAGGGTTAGAGGCTGACCCAGTTGGGTCTGTCTGGTGTTCTTTGGAAAGAGAGGGTGAAAACAAGGTGCCCTGTGAACAGGACAGTCTCTGGCATCACGTAGGTGATGCTAGAATTGCTGTGGTGTTTGAGCTCTCTGCTGAGTCAGGAGACCTACACCAAGAAACCCCCTCCTATCATTGCTGTTGTTATCAATCATAACTGCTAGCAATAAACTCCAGCAGAGCAGTAATTTTGGGTGGCAGCCTCCACCCTCCACAAGCTTCGGGAGCCTTTTGTATTTGCTTGCCTGTTTATGTTAAAACCATTCCTGACAATCTGATAGCCCAGGCACAGAAACTATTTACCAAGCTCATTCCCTACAATGAGTTTGCAATTGGAAATTTCAAAGGCTGCTGTAACACCACTCCGAGAGCTGTGTCTCTATCCCAGTCTGCCTGTGGAATGCTGATTGCTTGCCTTGGCTGGCTGGGGTAGGGCCAGGGGATGGGGCATGGGAGCTGAGTGTTTCAGAAGGACCTTAATGGGGCTGACACTGCTTATCTCAGATTGCTTTGGAGAAGAATTTATAAACTGTGCTTCTGTGCAGAGGAATGCTCCCCCTGAAATGCAGCAGCTGCACAGAAATACTTGTGTAGCTTTCTGGCGTGATCCAGAATAGGGACAGGAAGTTGTTCCACTGCTTGAGAGCAGCACAGTTAGCTTTGTACATCCAGGCAGATCTTACCAAAGAAACACAGTGCAATGCTAACAATCATTTTGCTCTTTGCTCATGAGTGCAGAGCTAGCCCTGCCTTCCAGTTGGAAAGCCTTACTGAAGCCAATGAAGTAACAAGAGGCTGTGAACATCACTCTAACCCACTTATTTTTCCTGTGTTCCCTATATTGTTAGTGATCCCTTGCTAAGTCAAACCGACTTAGCACAGCTGAAGAGCAATGTTATCCGCTGCTATTTCTGTTAGAGAGATGAGATTCCGGCACAGCTGATATAACTTGCAGCTTGTGAGCATAATCTTGGAAAAACAAATCCATTATTTTCTGAAACTCCTTACTAGCTCATTCTGCTGAGAATAAAGGTTGCAAAAGCCCACACATGCTACCTTCTAATCCCTAGGTGTGAAATTGGGATGTATCAGTTAGTGAGACTGCAGTTCGTACTCATTCCATTTCTCAGAGCTCTTTACTGCTGCACCCTGATAAGAGATTACATGGAATGGTGTTGTCCTCTTTGTCTGTGGCAGCTCCAGTCTCCACACAATACAGCAGCCTGGGGAGCAGCTATCACCAAACAGAGCTGTAGTCGTGATGCTCAGGAGCTGCAACACAGGTCCTGGATCCTCTCTGGGGGCAATGGAATCATTCCGCTGGTTTCTGTGGAAATCAGATGACATATCAGGATTGGTGTCCGCGTACTTGAGCTGTTTGTGATACTTGGGATGAGATCCATAGCCAGAATAAACCAGTCTTCCTCAACAGCTTCTCTAAATTTACTACACCTACTGGGCTTGTAGAATCGAAAGGCAGACAAGGCTGTTTGGATCAAGTTGTCGAATTTCATGCATAATTCATGATTTCATGCCTGGCTTTCCTTGGCAGAGCTATAGGCAGCCCTTTGATTTACAGCTCATTGTGACTGGAAGTTGTCTCCTCTAAATTTAGCCTCTCCATTGATCTAGGAATGTACAAATCAGTGCTGCAACGCAACCACCTGTGCCTTGAGACCAGGAGCAGTGTGTGCACATGGACTCTGCTGCGAAGACTGTCAGGTGAACCATGGGGAATGCTTCCTTTCTGAGTTGGGAGGGCAGAATTCCACCATTTTCCCAACTGCAGAGCAGTAAGGATGGAGAACAAGCAAATCAGTGTCACTAAGCATTAAGACACTTGAATGTCACCTCAGCAAAAAGTTATTGAAGGAGCAGCTCAACAGACTTTTAAAATGATGTCTCTGCATTTTGTGGCCACTTGATTTTCTCATGCAATACCTCTTCTTTTCCATGAACTTCTGTATGCTCTGATTTTTTTCATGCTTATAAGACAACCAGTCATTAAATGCTGGACCCTCTTTTTGGGAAGGCTCTTAAAATATTGATTCTATCAACAGCATATGTATTTTTAACAGCAAATCATCAGCTCTTGTGGTCTCCTAACATACTCTAAAAGCCAACTTGCCACAGGCATTTACCTGCTGGGATTCTCAGTGCATCCCTTGCATATGGGCTAATAAAGCATTCAGCAAGTTCCCACCATGTCTGTGGCAAACATCTGCCTAAAAGCTCACAGCAGCAAGCAATCACCACAGCGAGGAAATGCTTTTGAGCAAAATCAATCTTCATGTCCCTTTGCTTTTTACCAAAGGCAACAGGATTAAAATTCAGGGCTGGTCCCAGAGCATATCCATCTTCTGTGGCTGGGGTTGAGAAGTGAATGTTCAGACTGGCACATTCTACCATTGCCTGTAAGATCCAAAAAAATATGTAGTTATCTGGACCTGCCTTAGGGTCGAAAAACCACATAGTTATCCAGGGAAATCAGGACAGGACAGGAACAGTTACATGGACTAGTTGTGTGATTAAGATGACGAAGATCTTGATGCCCATGACAGCAACATTTCCATGAGGAAATGTAACTGTATAGAATCATTCAGGTTGGAAAAGGTCTCCAAGTTCATTGAATCCAACCTTCTGATCCAGGAAACCATCAGGCATCTGAATCCAGAGTCAAGTGGGCTGGTAGCTTTGTGAGCCCTGACACAACACATTGGCTAATATTCCATGACCAGCTGGCTGCAGGGTTGTTACAGCCACCTGCATGGAAAGGTCTCTGATCTGACTTTTGGCCAGTGCTACAGCTCATCCTTTCCAGTCCTGCCCAGAGTGTTTCTGTGCCCATGTGTTCAGGCACTCTGAAAACATCAGGGCTGGGTTTACCTTCTCACCTGAGCCACATGAGCCACATTTGCAGCTGCAACTCCAGCCTGATCCTCCTTCCTGCCAACCCCTTCCCAACATGTGTTAAACAACCATATTTAAAGAGCTGTGGAATCCTCCCACTGTCCTCTGCAGTCAGTTGGTTTGGGGCCAGCGGCAAACGCTGTTTGTGTGCTGCATGGCTGATGTGGCTGCAGCACAGCAGCTGAAGTTTTTGTTTGTTTTGCAGTTAAAACCAGCAGGGATTTCTTGCAGAGAGTCAAGTAACTCCTGTGATCTGCCGGAGTTTTGCACTGGAGCCAGCCCTCAGTGCCCAGCCAATGTGTACTTGCACGACGGCCACGCATGCCACGGCGTGGACGGGTACTGCTACAACGGCATCTGCCAGACCCACGAGCAGCAGTGCATCACCCTCTGGGGCCAAGGTGAGTGTGAGAGCATCTGTTTGTGATGTAGGTTTGGGGGGGAAAAAACATCAAACCCTACCATGTGATTTGGAGGGATTTCATACAGCTCCAATCTGTATCTATTCTTTTCCGAGATGGAGAAGTGAATAATGAGGGAATCACTTTGTGATTCATTTTAGCCTTGATTTGCTGTCGTGTTCGTTTCTTGCAGCAGGAGGTAGAAAGCAACAGTAACTAAGCTCATTCTGCAACACGCTGCAAATGGATAGGTGAAGTCAGACAAATCATTTGATAGTGACTTTGATATGGCCTTGTGTCACCCTACAAAGTGCTGAATGCTCTCGACAGGTTGAAATCACGTCCCCTGTCAGAGTGGTATGTAAGCTGCCTCCTGTGCTCTAAATACTTATCTGCAAAACACAGGTGTCTGCCTACACCCCAAACCAGGGCTCAGAGTTTGACACCAGCCTAAGACTCTTGTGTCTCTGTGTGTACTTTATTAGTTGGAGTTACCTGTAAACCTGCTCCTGCCAGGACTCTTAGCAGGGTACAAGTGCTCTTACACTGAAGCAGGAAGGGATTTTATTCTCCCATAGGAATTTACTTCCTTTTGGCAGATATCTATTATCATGAGTTCGAGAGTTATCCTAAACATGTATCTGGGGCAAACTGTTCACCTTTCTGTAAAGCTCTGTGGCCCTTCCTCTGAAATGCAAGTAGTAATTCAGCATCTTGCTATTGCCTCCTGCTTTGCTGTGGACAAATTGTGTCTCTTTCAGCATCTTACCTACCTGTACTTACTCACTTACTTACAGGACAAGGGGAAATGGTTTTAAACTAATAGAGATTTAGATTAAATATTTATAAGAAATCCTTCCCTGTGAGGTGCTGAGGCACTGGCACAGGTTGCCCAGAGAAGCTGTGGCTGCTCCATCTCTGGAGGTGTTGCAGGCCAGGTTGGATGGGGCTTGGAGGAATCTGTATGGAAGGTGTCCCTGCCCATGGCAGGGGAATGGAATGAGATGGTCTGTAAGGTCCCTTCCAACACTATCCAGCTCCCTTGACCTTTTTTAATTCAGTGTCTTTCTGCATTTAATGTGTTCCAAAACTTATATATCAAAATAATGACACACAGATGTTCTCCTTGGTCAAGACCCTCCTCAGAAGTCTAACAAAGAAGTCATCTGTTGTGTTCCCAGGGACACAGAGTATTCCCAATTTCTCTTTAAAAGAGCATTAGAGCACCTGAAGAGCTAACACCACTGATACAGAGAGCAGGTCAGCTTGGCTATTTGGGCATAGGAACAAGTTAGAGGAGTTCCAGTTCAGGATTAAACTCCCCACGTGGAACAAACTGTGCACCTGATATACTCCTCCGAATCCCACTCGTGTCGTAGAGCTAATATGAGCTCATATAGGCATGGACAATTATAGCCTCCAGTCTTAGTCATACTGGGAGTTTTAATCCCCTGGATACAGAGTCATCTTCTCCTGAATAAAGCAAAATCTCCTCGTGAACTAGTTTCCCATGGCATGGAAAGTTACTCGGTCAGACTGTTAATAATTTCAGTGGCTGAGAAAAATTCATCTAAAGGTCAGTGAGCTGAATTGCTGCAGTTGCCTTGCCAGGGCTGTTTCCTAACACAGCAAGTCCTCCAAACCCCCCTGAAGGTCTTGTCCTCCTTCTTGGGACTATGCAATATGGGCACTGCTGTGCATGAAGTCTCCTGTGGTCGAGGCTATGAGGTCTGTGTGTGAGAAAAATTACTTTATAAACAACAGAGCTCAAACAGGCTTGAACTGGAATAGCCTTTGTTTGTCTTGGGAACACCCAAGGATAAAGTTTTTGAAAAGAGAGGATGGGGCATGAGCAAACCTGAACTGAAAATCTTAATTCTTGTCACATTTTTGCGAGTATAAATTAGAAGTAATAGAATCTTGGAGTGGTTTGGGTTGGAAGGGACCTTAAATATCATTTAATCCAACTCCCTGTCGTGGGCAGTAGCACAAGTTGCTCCAAGCCCCATCCAGCCTGGCCTGGAACACTTATAATGATGCCTATATTCTGGATTTAAAGGCTAGGGATGTGAATATCCACTGCTCAGTCACACTTACATCTGGTTGGAGCATGAGCTGGCAGATGTGGGGTGGAATAGGTAGAGGACTAGGTTGGTCATGCAGTTGGAAACATATCATGGTACAGATAAAAAAATAACAAAAATCTTCCCAGCCTTGCTTGCAGCACAAAGCGAGATTTGACATTCTAAGATGTTGTCTCTGAATTTCATATCAAAGATATACATTTTTTTACCTCTTGTGATTGCTGAGAATTCTTTTTAACAACTTTGACAATTTTTTTAACAACTGCATGTGTTGGAGCAAAGTGGGTTTTTTGCAAAAATATTCTATACTGTAAAGATAAAACAGATCACAGTTCATTTCTATTATATCCTTATTTTCTTCCTCCCGGTAGGAGAAAGCAATGCAGAACAAAGCACAATAACTTTGCCTAAAATACCATTCCATATATTGACTTCCTTAATAATGTCTTCGTTTGTATGTCTCTCTGTATTCATCAGGTTACAGATGTCCAGAAGCCCAATGATAAATGTCAATCTTAATATTTTTAGATCTAGTTAAGGACAAGTGACGAACACTGTCAGAGCTTGTTTACATTAGGCTGAGCAATAGGAACCTGTTTCCAGAAAGAAGTACTTGCATTTCCTTGGGGTGCAACTAATAAATTGGTTTAACCAATAAATTAACCAATTAATACCAATAAATAAAATAGGGGAATGGATTTTGCTCTTTCCTATCTGCATGGAAATCTTGGTGGGAAGGAGGGGAGGAGCACCTGGGGATAGACTCTGAAAATAGCCTTAAAGACTGAGTTGATTCCAGTCTGCTCCCAGAGCACACATATTTCTTCATTCTGTCTCACCATAACTCATGTCATTTTATCCTGAAGGAGCAACGTGCAAGAGTTGCTTGTGACCTTCTATGTCTCATATTCCAAAAGTATCCAGTTGCATTGATCTGACCTATTGATAGTGGTGTGACTGCAAGACACATCAATAGTGAAGCCTTTGTGTGATGTTTGCTGCTCCATTGGCATTTTCCAGGAGCAACCAGATACTAAGATAAAGCTACTTAAGACAGAGAAATTATTGATTACCAAGGAATAGAAGAGTGTCAACTTAAGACTCAAGGATTTGTCTCCACTGACAAGAAAATGATTCTGTAGGGAAGGGAAGAAGTTTGTCAGTTTGTTTTCCTGTACTTCCCTGAGAGGGAACAAAGCAATGATTTGGGGGAGGCAGTGGCAGGCATTGACTTAATAATTAGAATACACTTAAGTGAGTTGTGTAGACATGGCCATTTGTTTAGGCAGGGACAGTCTCAACGTTAATGTCAATATTTGTTGCATGTGATTTGTACAACCCAAGAAAGACAAAGCCAATGGGCTGCTCGTCTCAGTTATCTGGGCAAACCACTGCTAACTGGGTTCTTGTTTGGGGCAAAAATATGAATTTATCCAAGCGTTGTAAAGATTTGAATCCAGTAAAAGCAAACTATTTGATCAGCATGGATTTATGGCTAGGCCTTTTCCTTTGGAGGTGAAAGACATTAAGACATACTTGCAGAGGTGGTGAGCTCATACTCCTTAAATGCAAGAAAGGCACAACCTCATCTTGCTCTTGCACAGATGTAACTACAGGGATCACCAAGATGGAGAGAGAGGCCAAGGGGAGATTGTGGCAAATTTGCTTTGCATCATCAGTGCAGTAAAACCAACTTAATGAGATGAAATCCAGGCCACATGGTAGAGAACTGTATTTTTATGCTTATGTTTGTTCGTGGTGCTGGTTGGCACAGCCTGAGCAACAGAACTCCAACCTCTCACTCAGAGGTTATTTTTTCCCCGCACACACCCATAAACAGTTGGGAACTGAATTGAGACATCTTCCTTTGCTGCTGTCAGCCTGACAGTGGGTGTTTCTCTTCTTGGAATCAGCACCATGGTCAGAAATTTCTCTCTTTGCTTTCGGGAGACTGATGGTGTTTTCTCATTGCAGTTGATCTGAAATGACACAGCATTTCTGTATTGCTTCAAAAGCACAGAACATCTCCTTTGTTGCAGCTGGGTAGGGAAACAAATGGGCTCATCAATATACACATTTGGAGGAAAAAATTCCAGTCTCCAAGCTGACAACTGCAGCAGTAAGCTTTGACCTTCTGCAGCTTCAAACGGCTGATTTAATCCCTTGGATAAGGCTTGGTGTGGAAAGGCTGACAGGACCTTAATTACAGGGTCATGATACTATAATTACCAATAGCAAAGTGAAATCAACTCTGCTCATCCAGCTCAAAGCACTTAATAACCACTAGAAAACTTTCACAAATCATCTTGCCTCCGCCTGTAGAGGTGGCAGAATCGAGAGAGACAGGACTGGCTGCTTCAGTTTCTGTGGAGCAATCATGATAAATGGGTTTCCCCCAGAAACACAGCATTGCAATTCCCTTCCTTGAGCATCCTCTGAAAACCTCCTTTTAACTTGGTAGCTCCATCTGTTCAGCTTCTTACACTCTGATATGTTTTCATCTCTGAAAAAGTCCAAATATTGTGAGGAGCCATCAGGAGAGGAAACAGCCGTCTGAATCCCAAAAACAGTGTGTGTTGGTTTGCTCCCAAAGACAGAAATTGAGCTGGATTTCAGTTTCCAAGCTGCAGATGATCATTGGGTACCAGGTGTTTCACACACACACTGCTCCAAGCCTGGCAGGGGAGGGATTTTTTGTACTCCATGAGATCTTTCTTCTTGTCAAGTGTTATTCGTTGGAGTTAAAGCTCAGTGTCTGAGCCCAACAAGGATGCTGCAGATGTGTTTTACTTCCTGCAGGCTGCTTCCCATCATCTCCAGATCACTTGACTTCTACATTCAAATAAAAAAAATCAACCATATACAAAAGTTCCAGCAGGTGAGAGAGGAAGATAAACACCTTAAACTCTCAGTATTTCAGTGAGCCCTTTCTCTTTTTTAAGCCTTTGTTAGGTCCCTTGCAGTCAAAACAGAGGACAGGAGCATTCATTTTGCTCTTGGCAGCTTTCAGAGCCACACACCACTCTGGGGAAAGCATGTCTGGGCTCTGGGCTGCTGCTGACACATCTCCAAGGGAATTGCAACCTTTGCAATTGCATGCCATCAGCTGAATGAGTTGGGGCACAAGGATCCTCACCAAGAAAACAGGAGCCCCATAGCAATTGCATGTGACCATGGTGGATGTGTGGAATAGGGATGCTCAAGCTGGTCTTTGCAGCTGTGGGAGAAAAAGCAGTTTTAGAAGGAGCAGTTTTACTTGGCCTCTTGCTTACAGCATGTTTTTTTCCTCCCCTTCCCTTCAAAGCTGACATAGTATATGCACATGTTAATGTTTGTCTCAAGCTGAATGGTTAATATGCCTGTCCTGGAAAGATGAGGAAGAATTTACATGCTGAAAATGGCAATTTGGCTCTAGCTTTTTGCACAGTGCCTTGTCTGGATGCTTTCATTGATTTTTTGAATATTGCTTGTGCTGTAATGAAAAGAATTGAAAGAATCCTGGGTGAGTCCCTTTTAATAGTCCCAGATCTGAGAAAATATTCTGAACTCAGCAAGCTTGATCCTAATCTTCCAAAGAATTTCAGGCTCTTGTCCTTCTCCCCAGGGAACCAACAGCTCATATTCTGTTCCTTCTGTGCCTTTCTTTCTGAGTTTGTAAGTCTCAGAATGTAAAAACATGAGAAGGAAAAGAAGGTGCCATCTTAAGCCTCTCTGAGTTTTAATATTCTGTCCTTAATAGCATTAGATTGCTGTCAGCAGGATATAGTATTAGTCAAGCTTCTGACTGTGAAATGCAGATAATTAATTGAAGTTTTAATCTCTGAGTTATTAGGGAAAAGATCTACACTGCCTGCAAGTTTTACAATCATATTTGTGTTTTCTTCTCCAGGAATCTGACCCTTTTCTTTAAAAAAAATAATACGGAAAACATGTTCTTCTTTGAAGGTTTTCAAATGAAATCTTTGGGAGGGCTTAAATAAATGCTGTGTTTTCCCCACAGTGAGAGGCACACATGCTTGGGAGTGACTCAACACTTGGGAAAAAGTAACATTAGTTCATATATTCTGCCTCTCTTAAAGATCAGGAACACTGTAGAAATGGTATATTCTCAGCCTTTAGGCTATCTCATCATTTGCTGCCAAGTTCTTTTTGTTTTAGTTTGGCTGATCTATCAGAAGTACAAAAATGTAGCTAGCAGGTCTCTGTTCAGAGTTGTAGCCACTGTATCTCCTTCCCACCTTATCTCCTCAGAGCCAGTCTCTCTGTTGGAGGAGTTGAAATGTTGGTAATGACCTGATTGTGCCGTTAATTATCTTCACAGAAAGAAAATGTGGAGTAGCAAAGAGTCCTAGCAAAGGGTCTCTCAGTCTTGCAAGGAGCAGCAATTACTGGCTGGAAATGAAAGCCACACTGCACAGCAGAACAAAGGGATTAGATGCTACTGCATGGACTAATTAATAGTTGCAACAGTCAAACCAGGGATCCTCCACCTCTTTGACATTTCAGGTCAACACATGCATCTTCCCCTAGAAGATATTGCAGAGTTGGTTGCAGTCTGGGGGAGAATGGTCCAGAAATTGTCTGTGTAAACCATTAGAATAGATGTTCTAATAGTACCCTTTTAACTTCTAAAATGAAGTTAGGGAATGAAGTAGGGATGAGTCATCTGTCTGCACCAGCATTTCCAGTCCTACTCCCACCAGGGAAGTTCCTTTGCCATTAGGATATGTCTCTACCATAAGAGACCACAGTAGATAAGAACCAGATGTTGCCTGTCTTCCCAGATTCCTACTTCTACCACCATGGTAGAAACAACCCTTCTTTCAAGTCAGTCTTTCCTCTCAGGAGTGGATGTCCTGAGGATTAAGGTGGGGATGGATTGTTTTGCTCTCCCCAGCACATTAGTCTGGGCTAGCAGTAGTGTCATGGCATGTCCTTGTGTCTCTACAGACAAACAGCACTCCAGTTTGCAACTGGATTTCTTCTGGTTTCTTATTCTGGATTGCACCTAAACAGGCCTTTCTTGAAAGGAATTTTCTTTGGGATCTCACTCCAACCACGTGGACTCCTGTAAAAAGAAGGGAGTTAACTTCCCAGCTGGCTTTTGTCTGTCTTCACCAAACAAGCTGTGACATTTGCTGAGAGATTTTGTGTCCTAGGAGGATTCATAAGAGGGATATAATCTCCAGAAACCCTGAAAGAGAAGGAGTTGTGCATTGTGTATTGCTCAGCATTGCCAAGAGAGACAAATAAAGAGTGGAAAACCCCCACATCCAGGCTCTTCCATTAGCATGCTGATCCAGCACAACTGCTTTGTTGGGCCTCATCACCATGCAGCTCACATCCCACCTTCCCCTAAAGCATCAGTGGAGCTCAAAGGAAATTATTAAAAACACCTTGTATGAGATGAAAGTTCTGATTAGGTTTTGTTTCAGGTGCAAAACCTGCTCCTGGGATCTGCTTTGAGAGAGTCAACTCGGCAGGTGATCCTTATGGCAACTGTGGGAAGGACTCCAAGAGCTCCTTCGCTAAATGTGAACCCAGGTAGGGTCTCTCCCTCCAAACACAGCTGAAGGGGTGGTGGGAGAGGGTCTGCAGCATCTGAACTGCTTTCCCTAATCTTTGGGTTTGTTTGTTTCCATCAGGGATGCTAAATGTGGAAAAATCCAGTGTCAAGGAGGAGCAAACCGACCTGTGATTGGTACCAACGCTGTTTCCATAGAAACTAATATCCCACTGCAGGAAGGAGGCAAGATCCTGTGTCGTGGGACCCACGTGTATTTGGGGGATGATATGCCTGATCCTGGTCTTGTGCTGGCAGGAACCAAGTGTGAAGATGGAAAGGTAAGATTCTGAAATACTCCCAGACAAGGAGAATGTCACTACCCTCAAGCAATTTGTTCTAAACTGACTTCTTTTTCCTTTGGGATTATTTTTCCCCAAAAAAAGAATTGTTTCTTGTGCTCAGACTGAGTCAGGTTTTTACTCCCTACTTCTTTTTGCTCTGGATTAGAGATTTGCAGATGCAAATCTGAGCAACCTGGTCTAGTTGGTGATGTCCCTGCCCATGGCAGGAGGGTTGGAATTAGGTGATCTTTAGGCCTCTTCCAACCCAAACCATTCTGGGATTCTATGCCATGCAAGTTGCTGAGGTTTATAACACATTTTTGAGGGCAGCCCCAAGTATCTGCCCATGCAGGCTTGAGGTTCTCTGCAGCAAATACATTCCAGCAAAATACATTCCAGGCTTCTCAATGAGTTTCTAAGTTCAATGTAGTCCCTTTCCCACTGTCTCTGGCATTGCAAAAGTGTCATTAACTTCAGGTTTCAAAATGTATTATATCTGCTGATTGTGGCTCCTCACTTCTTTATTTTTCATGCAGGAAAAGCTCTCTCTGTGTGCACTGTTAGAAAACTATAAACCCATTGATGCTGAGCCACAAAAAGTGATTTTTGAAATGGTATTTTGCAAACTTTGGGAATTATCCACTATGAATATAGTCCAAATTTCATATGGCTGTCTCATTCCTAGTTTTGCTGTTGTGAGGAAAGGAACTAAAATGGGAGAAAGCCATGAGTTCACAGCTGGGGGAGGAACAGAGAGGAGTCCAAGAGGTATTGAAATGAAGAAGGTTTCCATATCCTCAGTGGATTGCTTGCAAAAAGGAGAGAAAAACAAGTGCTTTGATAATTTGGGGTAAATTCAAGTAAGCCTCTGAATTTCTGAATGCCTTTGAATGCTGTTGGATTATCACACTGCACTGGGAACAGGTCTGAGATACATCCCCAGTGCAACTCTAGTTCTGGTGCAGGAAAACAACCCTTACAACATTTCTAAGTCAATCTGTTCTAAAATGCCTCTTCAAAGCCAATTCAGCACTGGGAAAGCACCCCATTATGTTTTACTAATGAGTATTTAATCTTTCTAATCTATCTAATCATACACATCCACACTATAGAATACACAGGCTAATACTTGGGAAATTGTATGTTTTACTTGGAGGCCATTAGTGCATTTGTATTATGGATTAAGAATATGAATTTAAATATTCTTGGGTTTTTCTAGGCTGCAGATCCCCAATTTGCAATGCAGCCACTCTAATGGGATCAGGATTCTGTGTGCTGCTGCTCCCTGAATATCTCAATTGTGAATACTGCTGTAATCAGACCATATTCTCTCCATGTGTGCATGTTGATGCCAATTCCCTCTAATTTCCTTTCCATTTTTCCTTCTCCCCAGGGGATAAGTGCCCTGATTAAGCATCCCTGTCGCCTCCTTCAACACTATTCCCTGCTTAATGCTAATTATTGTGACTGACTTTTAGTACTACTGAGCTGCACTGCAGTTAACCATGAGCAAAATTGTGCAGTGTGGGTTTTTTTGACCTTTTTTTTTTTGGGGGGGGGGGCAGCAGAGCATACGAAGAATTATTCCAGTCCTAATTTCTTCTTTACTCAGTTTTGAGTAGGAGAATTTGTCACTCCTGACATCTCCATCAGTTGTTTGGTTGGTCGATGGCATTATTAGATGGTACTAATCTTGCTTTACCTCAATTTTCAGCTCTGTTGGCAGAGAAAACAAAGCAAAAGTGGAATTCCTTTGCATATGCTCTTTGTTTACTTCCATTGCCTAGAAATTATGAAATTTTAAATATGGTTGGCTCATATTTGACACCAAAAGAATTGTTTAGCTTAGAAAAACTTTTAGAAAGGTCTCAGGTTTGCCGAAGAACAATGCTGAGCTCACAGATATCTATGACCTCACTTAAATATTCAGGCTGTCCTGGGTCCAGGTTCTGTACTAACATGAAAAATAATTCACTATTGATATAAACAGAACTATGATAAATTATACCTGAAGATTTCCTTGAGGAATCTTCTGCTGCTGTGAAGGCACTAATGCAGCCAGATCAGGTACCTGGCAGAATCCTGCTCAGTGCATTTCTAGTCCTGAAAAACTGCAAATTACTGGGTTTTAAATTGGATTATATAAATCCCAAACCCCAGGAGCTACTTACTAGTTCCACCTCAGTGAAACTGTGAGGGTTTGCTTACACAAGCTCAGCAGAGCAAGCAAATATGAGTTGTGTCTGAAATTCAGGGTTGGCCAGGATGCTGGTCCAGGGCAGCATTCAACTTCCACAGATTTGCACCTAAAAGGCTTAGAAAGGGCTGAGAAAAATAGGACACTTAATTATAGTTACAGTGTGTTAAGGGGTTGGAGTGGAGCTTAGAGATCACCCAGTCCCAACCCCTGCCCTGGGCAGGGACACCTCCCACCAGAGCAGGTTGCTCAAGGCTCATCCAACCTGGCTGTGAACACTGCCAGGGTTGGGGCAGCCACAGCCTCCCTGGGCAACCTGGGACAGTGTCTCACCACCCTCACAGGAAAAACTTCTGCCTAAGATCTAACCTAAATTCCCCTCTTTCAATTTATCCCCATTATTCCTTGTCCTGTCCCTGCAGCTCCTAACCAGGAGTCCCTCTGCAGCTTCCCTGGCAGATTGCTCTTCTTCCAGGCTGAACAGCCCCAACTCTCTCAGCCTGTCCTCATAGGGAAGGTGCTCCAGTCCTCTGATCAGCTTTGTGGCCTCCTCTGGACTTGCTCCAGCAGTTCCAAGTCCTTCTGATGTTGGGAGCACCAGAACTGTGTGCAGTACCCCAGGCTGGGTTGCACCAGAGCAGAGGGGAAGAATCCCTTCTCTCACCTGCTCCACACTCCTTTGGATGAAGCCAAGGATTGGGTTGGTTTCTGGGCTGTGAGCTTACACTGCAGCTCATGGGGAGTTTTTCACCAACCATCACTCCCAATTCCTTCTCCCAGAGCTGCTCTCAATCCTTTCTCTGCCAAGCCTGTAGGTGTGTCTGGGATTGCCCTGACCCAGGTATAGGACCTTGCATTTGGCTTAGTTGAACTTCTTGATGTTGGCATCAGTCACCTCTCCAGCCTGTCTAGGTCCCTGTGATCAGTGCCCTTATCTTTGTGCCTGTAGAACATGTAATAATACATATATGTATGCCCTGGGAAAGCTTTAGCTGCTAAGGGAACCCCTGAGGGCTGAGCAGAGAGGGACGTGATGCCTTGTGAGCACCACCAGTTCTGTCCCTTTTCAAACTCCCTTTCCCTTCCTTTGCAGATCTGCCTGAATCGTCGGTGCCAGAACACAAGTGTGTTTGGGGTACAGAAATGTGCAACCAAGTGCCATGGACGTGGAGTAAGCATTCTACAATACTTATTTTCCAATCCATCAATAACTACTGGACAAGAAATCACTTTATGGAATAGCTTTGGGGTCTATTATTGTTTGTAATACATCAGTCAAAATCCCTGCACTGCTTTTTTATGATGTATTTCCATTTTCAGTGTTCCTTATATGGCCTGCAAGCAATGAAATTATTTTTCTTTAACAAAGAAATAGTTATCAGGCAGTAATTATCTTGTTCTTAATTAACAGTCTGTGATACAAAGGAATTTTGTCATCCTCAAAGCAATTTGAAGCCTGACCTTCCATCATGAAGAATTCCCATTAACATTTAGAAAAACACAGTTTCTCTGTGGGTACAGAGAAGTTAAAATCTGCATTTGAATTGAGAGTCAAATGGAAAAGCATTAAAAGTATTAAAGGGAAATGATATTGATGAGTTTTGTGGCATGAAAGTGGTGCAGGATGAAAAATGTGACGATACCATTTAATATTATCACTGCTTTGAAACCCAGTTTATATTATGATAATGCTCATTATGTCCAGCTATGCCTTATTAACCTTGATTTGCTGATGAACTGTTTGTTTCTGTGAAAAGCTGTGGCAACCACATTGGAAGAGCCATAGAAATTCCCTGTCCTCTCCTGAGAAAGGACTTTAATTTGCTTTAACTTATTTTATCCCCCTGAGTTTGAAAAGCTGAGCAGTGCTGCTGGAGCTCCCTGGTACCACAGAGCTGGAATGAGCAGCAGCTTGGACTGGCATCTTTATGTCTACAGTGGAGAGCCTCTGGTGGCTCCTGAGTGGTGAAAAATGACCTGGTGGAATTGTAAATGGGAACTCCTGCAGTGCTTTCATTTAGAAGATAATGCTTAATGGAGTAGATTTTTTTTATTATGCCTGAAAAGTAAATCTTATTTTTTGTTAATTTTCCATGACCACAGCCAGTCTGAGCTGTGTGAGTGGTACCTTAGCACTCTGCAGACACAGGCAGGACAGTGTTTCTCAAAGCTTTCCAGCTGACCTGGCCAGAAAAATGCACATTCAGAACCACCCAAACTTCTGTGAAGTGACCTGTGTCTTACTGAGAAACCATTTAGTAATCTATGGTTAGATTAATAACCATATTATGAACCCACATTAAGGTGTGGGTTCTCTGTGGTGGTAGTAGATCAGTGATGATCAGGGTTAGTACAGTTAAGGACCTTATTGACAATGAGCTCTAAGCCCAAAAACCTTATCTAAAAATCAATTTAAGCACCAACATGTGACTGTGCCATGTCTGGGGTCAGTTCTGGGTCCCTCACAAGAAAGACATTGAGGGGCTGAGTGTGTCCAGGGATGGGAACAGAGCTGGGGAAGAGGCTGGAGCACAAGGGGAGGCTTTGGGAGCTGTGAGGGCTGAGTCTGGAGAAAGGAAGGCTCAGGAAGGACCTCTACAACTCCCTGACAGGAGGTTGGAGCCAAGTGTGGGTCAGTCAGTCTCTTGTCCCAGGGCAGAAGTGATAGGGGAAGAGGAAACAGCCTCAAGTTGCACCAGGGAAGGTTTAGACTGAGTATTAGGAAACATTTCTTCACTGGAAGTGTATCAAGCCCTGTCACAGGCTCAGGGCAGTGCTGGAGTCACCATCCCTGCAGGGATTTAACAGCTGTGTGGATGTGGCACTTGGGGACATGGTTAGTGGTGGCCTTGGCAGTCCTGGGGAGTGGGTGGGCTCAGAGGTCTTTTCCAACCTAAGCAATTCCATGATTCTGTGTGTTCCGTCAATTCAGCACAGAACTTTAACCTCTCTATTAACCACATAGTCACTCCTTGGGTGGTAGCAAAAGGAAATAACAAGAACTTGGACTGTGGGCTCTCCTGGGGAAAAACCCATGAGTCTACTGGCTCCTTCTGCTCTGTGCAGCAGGAACAGGCTGATGTTAGTGATGGGCTCCAGCCCTTCAGAGCTCTCCTGTTC